CTTGTAAATCAATCTTGCAAAAAAAAAAAAACCTTCACAAACATTTATCCCACAAATGTTCATAGTTTCATGCAAGTAGGAACATTTATTTGTACAGTTATTTGCAACATCTTGGTGGCCTGGAGAACCAACTCACTCTAAATTTACAGAATTACTCTGCCTGATCACTTAGAGGGACAATAATTTACCACAGGCAATTCAGCAAGCAACTGTTGAGAAGGTGAAGCTAAATGTTTTATCCAGCTGGTAGCAGATTCACTGAGTGGGAGTTTCAGACTTTGCATCTGAATTACTGTTTCTCAAGCTTTTATAAAGATATTGCTTCAGAATACATAAGGGGAACAAAGCAGGACCCTACACAGGCAGAACATTAAAGAAATAAATCTTTCTTCAGGAAAAGGAGGGAGAACAGGCAAATAGAACAGAGAAATCAAGACTGTACTGTTGATTCTTCCCTTCTGGCAACTGTGTTGAAGTCTTCCCTTTATTTCTCCACTTGAAAACCAAAAGAGGTTGTGAAAGAAAATTGTGACAGAGTGTGGGGTAAAACTCTAACTGGACACAAGAACTAGAGAAGGAAGTTCTATAATAGAATCTGCCTATTTTTTAAAAAAGGCCATTTTCTGAATATCACCAGAAACCAAAAGAACAGCATCCACAATGAACGAAGGGGTATCAGCAGTTTTTGGGAGCACCCACAGTTGATATTACCAAATAATACTATTGGGAAATTATGATCCTATGGGCACATATAACTTAAAACAGTTCAAGGGGGCAGAGAAAATAAAAAACCTAGGAAGATAAACACAATATGTTGAAAGAGAACATGGCTATTTGACTATATAGACCCCTTCTCCAAATTAGTTTTGTAACTACTTGCCAGAAATCCAATGGGTCAAAGAATATGATGGGATCATCATGTTCTTAAATACTTAGCTGCTATATTATTATTTATTTCATGATTACCTTTTCTGAACATATAGAGCAGATGAACAAATAATGCAATCCTGAATATATTGATTTAATTGTAGGATACACTTAGCTTGTCCTGTTACATGACAAAAGCAGTTCTAGACAAATTTGTAGTCTTATACAGCCTGGGTCTAATAGTAACAACAGGTCAGCTGGAGTTTCTTATTAAGGTGAATATTTATTGTCCACTGAGGAAGAACTTCTTATATCTTGAAGTCTAGTTTATACAGAACTTCATTTTTACTCACCACTTGGCTGTTTATTTGTAAGATTTTACAACATTAGAATTATTGCTGCTGACAATAAATCACAAGATAGTAGCTATAAATGTTCTTGCTACTCTGAATGACATCAGTTCTGCTAAGTGAAGAATACAAACTGTTAATAGAATGAATGCATCAGACATTAACTATGATTAGTTTCCAGTCTAGTAGCAATTTGGCACTGAGTTACTATAACAGCCTCACTTCATTTATTTACAGATTTGCAATGTCTTGCAGTACCTTTTCCCTGTCACTCACATACAAAATGGAAGGGTTCTTATCTACCTTAGGTATACTGTATGCATATTCTAGGTTGAAACGAGTGTAATACAGGTAGTCCCCAGTTTAAGAATGAGTTCCCTTCCAAAGGCCTGTCCTTAAGGTGAATTTGTACATAAGCTGGAACAGTATTATTGTATAATACTGTATAAGTAGTACTGGGTAATGAACTTGAAGGATTGTGTATTTAACTTGAACCATTGTGGATTTCACTTGAATTTTGTTACAAGAGGCTCTATTCTTAACTATGGGTCATCCGTAAACTGGGCATTCTTAACCCAGGGAGTACCTGTATAAATAAATAATGGAATGAACTTGTTCACTGTTTATTCCTTCTACAGAAGGGATCTGAACAGTCAATTATTCAAAACAGTGGTGAAACTATTTCCTTCCTGTTTACCTTTCTGATACAAGTGCCTCTTTTAAAATGTGACCTGTAAATATGCTAAAACTACATTTTTTAAGCTTTCAGAAGGAGGAGATATACTGGCTGGTATATATGTTGATAGAACTAACAGAAAAATAAGTAAGAAAAAGTCAAAGTGAGCAGTAATGATTTCAGTAAATTAAAGCAGTAATTATAATTGATTTTACAATTGTAAAATGTCACAACATTCAATAATAACTGCATTTTCTCAAATTTCTGATATCAAGGTAAACTTTATTCTGAATTAAAATTAAAACACACGCACACTTCATTTACATCTTTGAAAAGTATGTAGACCAGTGTTTTTCAAACTTGGCAACTTTAAGTTGTGTGGACTTCAACTCCAGAATTCTCCAGCCAGCCATGCTGGCTGGGAAATTCTGGGAGTTGAAGTCCACACATCTTAAAATTGCCAAGTTTGAAAAACACTGATGTAGACTGAAACATAATGACTGCTCCAAAATCAGTCAACCTCTGTTGGGGTTAAGGCTCCCTGATTCCAGTACAACACTTGGCTACTCCATCAACTGGCTCTGCTTGGACTCAGTAGACTTACCTCATCTTTTTATACATATATATTTTATACAGTATATAATTAATATAATTAATAAATTATTAAGTTTTTTCGTAATTGTCAACTCTGTCTATTTTATATCCTGCCATTCTTTCCGAGTGTTAAAGTTATGCAGAAAAGTGGTGGTT